GATGACATGGACTGAGACCACGTTATGGATTGACCACCTTTGCGTTTCTTCCAACATAGCCATACACCAGCAATTATCGCCCGTCCAAGTATGCGATGATTAGACAAACATAACGTGTCCAAACTACCTCAGTAAATGAAGATTCAATGTCTCATGAACTGATATCACGCCTACGTCACAGATGTAATTTGGCAAGCACTAACAGGCCTCTCTCAATCCGTGTTAAGAGCCCGTCAAACACCAACCCATTAGTGTTGATGAGACTTTCAAGTGAAGTGGTCGACACAATCCACTATTTCACTCGCTATCGTCAAACTCGATGTTGGCAGAAACCAGTCCTTAAGCAATATTTTGCGTTACGATGAAGTGATACGCATCACAAACACACTCGCACTGTTGATTGATTAAGGAGGTCAAGAGACCCTGAGTTTTGTCAAGGTATTCATCAAATAGAAAACAAATGACTATACAATCCACTCAAGAAGTCTGTTTCGCTTTTGAACTTAAGGCTACACATATATCAGAGTCGATGGGAGTTGGTCGTCAACTTTCTGGATACATGGAGGGTAAATTGTAAAGGCTTACTACATTGACTAGGTGGACTCAAGTGAATGACCATACTTTGATCCTGTTTGTGTTTCGGAGACAAAATATACAACCATAGTGTGAAATCCCAAAGTCCTAGATAAGGAAGCCTGTTGGCTTGCTTGGTATAAGGTTCGAACATTGAAAGTCTCAACATGTAGTTTCAACATCAGGTTTCAAGAGACCAGAAATAACTTTTCATAAACTCAAATAATTGCGTAGGTGGTACTAGAAAATAAGCATAAAATCATAGAAGAATTGACAGTGGCGATAGAAGTAATATTAAGAAGTGACGAAGGGATCTATTTCACCATTACCAAGATGATCTCTGTTATAAGAGGTAATAGAGTGGTTGTTACTTTCCGTTTGTCCACACAGAGGAATGGTATTTCTTTCTGAAGGACTTGAGCGGGAGACTAGGTAGGGGGTTATCATGAAATCCTGGGAGCGCGGGACAAGAGACAACCACTCAAGGCCGGTCACACATAACTATTCTACAAGAATTACTTAATATGATAATTCTAGGTTTCAAAAGGCTTTACCATCGGGGAAGGAAACCAGTAGGATGTGGTGAGGTGACACTTTTACAGTCAAATTACTCATAACCCAACAGATAAATACACTGAAGACTAATAAGATAATTTAAACTGATGATAAGAATATAGAAAATTCAAATTTTAGGCACTGACTGTAACAAACTAAACATTAAAATTCAAATATACTATCACTGGTTTATAGGAAAAAATTCACATTTTTAAGTGGAAAAGATAAAAAGTATACCGTCAATAAGAAAAACCAAATTTCAATTTACTTGATGACAGTTTTCTGCTTAACTAAATACGAGTCAAGTTATCCCGAGTAGGAAACACTATCCATGATACTTAGATTAAAGTACATATAAAACAGTTCGAGCTCATAAAAATTTGATGAATAACCACAGAAACCCTAAAATACTGTACCAAGGACTAGTGGAAAGATGTAAATCCATAAAATGCTGAAATTTTTTTAAAAGCCACAACATGAGCAGCAAAAATTAAGATCGATCTAACTCTACTGATCAGTATAGCATCTTTATATATATATATATATATATATATATATATATATATATATATATATATATAATTTAAATGTTGACATATACTGAAAATTGAACCGTTTTATGCTGTCGGAACATAGCTATTAAGTTATTTGATCTTAAAATAAAAAACTGAACAAGATATAACATTACAAACTCTTTGATGAGTTCAACATTTATGTCATTTTGAAATATAGGAATATCATGACCCAGAGATACTGATGTCATGGAAAGAACAGGTGCCCATTACTATATAGAAAATATACTGGTATTTAACAATTATATAAACTGTTATAACCCAGTGAAGATTAAGTTACAGGTAACTTCCGAAGACTGTTAATAGACTAATATTCTATAAATGTTCTTATTGTATAATTATTCAACAATTACATTACGATATTTATATTTCTCTTATTATAAGCTTTATTTTGACCTATAATTTATTATTATACGATTTACGGTTCTTAATCTATGTTCAGTCTATTAATTACTATCTCCCGCGTTCACAGCCACTTTTTGGCTTATTTGTGTACATATGTTATTTCCTAATTTATGATGTGTTGTGGTCTGTCTGTTTGATATATAAACCGAGTATGTTTGAAATAAATGATCTGCTCTGATTCGAAGCTGGTATTTTGTTCTGGACTCAAGTGGAAGGGCTCGTAGGACATAGGACCAATAAGGACGCTAGACTGCCCACACCGGTTGAACGTCATTGGTTGGCCTAGTGTGAAGATTCGTATAAGTCGTATTCGAATTGGTAGATAGGTCGCGTGATAGCAAAACCAGACATACTCAAGGTCATAACATAAACATTATAGCTTAGAACAATAGTACGCATTTTATATGGAAATAATTATTTTTGCATTGGATAAATTTGTGTTATCCATAAAAATAAAAGACAATATTAGGTTGATTAATGAAGTGTTTGTGCATCAAGGAGTGTTAGTGTGTAATAGTTTGACTTGATTTAAGTCATGGCTCCCAGAAGGTGCTTGTTATGATTTCTCTTATTACGACCCAGCTACTATTATTGTTTAGTGATCTTGGACAGTACTTTACTCGACAAGTCCCCAAATCAGAACACGGTTGAACAGGAACGTAATTATATTCCAAATAACTAGGGTGGGTGGAAGTAGGAATCACAATAAGGAAAACGTTAGTATATAATTTTTACATAAGATTATACGATCTCCATTAGGCATCTTCTAGCACAGATTGGTCAAGAAATAGCCAATCAGCGTGCCCAAGCACAATCCTGCACGGAACATACTTTAATACAAGCTATATCCCGCTTACAGTGCTCATTTGAAAGTAAACATTTGTAAGTAATTGTGAGAGCTTCTGACACTAATCGACTTCCGAAGTCAGAATTAATGATGTAGAATTTGAACCTCCAACTTATATTTAGAGACAGTAGATAAGTTTCATGCTTGTGAAGTGTTATGTTATGTTCAAATAAATAAACAAATGTGATTACACTCTTCAAAAAAACATATGTTATGGTGAGAGACATTAACCACCAACTGATTTATTACTGGTGCAACTTGACGCCTATAGAACTGAAATGTTCACAGTAATTCGTCTCTGAGTAACAAAGAATATGATGGCACAACGTATACGCTGTAACTGGGTAAAGATAAAAATTCAGAATCTGTTATTCGAAAATAAACTCTACAATCTTAAGATTAGTGTTAAAGCGGTTTTTCTCTTTTTCGCGGTTAGTACGGTTGATAATAGAGAAACTATCGAAAAGTAGTCACTATAATTGATAGCCTGAATTGAAAAATACTTTCTTATCATTAATATTATTAATATACATAGATGTAAAATACTCGAACTCTCTTAAATAAACAATGTTAAACGAGTAGAAGGTAGAGATAACCGTACGTCTTTTTGGATGTAGGACCCTATTTTGTACAAGCTCCGAGCGTGAAAATCTATGTGCAAGAAAATATCAACTTTTACATGATAGCCGTAAATATAAACATTCAATACATGTTTGCACACAAATACCCTCACACACATACAACTATTTAGAGTTGAACTTTGTCGTAACATTCCCTAATTTCAAATGCAAAAGTTATAAAATGCATTTTTAAGTAGAAAATTATATCAATATATACCAAATGCTCTGGTACGACAGAGGGTGGGGAGATTCCGCTCTCCCTCTCCAAATGCTATCACATGACCACGCTTATACAACCATTCCCAAGGAAATCCTACTCACTGCTTCCCCGCAGCGGGGGTGCTGTTTACGAAATTGACAGAAGGAAAGTAAATGTTCGGCGCTTTAACTGGGTTGGTGAGTACGGAGGGTCCAGCTAGGGGAGTTGGAGTGTGAACACTACACTGGACGAGTAAAGGTAATTTTCCACAAATTGATGAATGAAAAAAGGCAATAAACTCAACATATTTAAGTTAAAACCTTTAATGAAATTAGAAGCTTCATTTTAAGTTCATATAAAAGATCTTCCGTGACTTTAATTTGGAATTCCGCTACACAACAAAATATTTTCGAGGATAAAAGCAATATTTATTTGAATCAATTTAATTAATTGGCAAAAATCTTAACCTGAAATAGTCGTGGATCCAACACCTAATAAAAAAGAAGTCTCATTGATGAGACTATTAACCGAACTACCGTGATAACTATGAATATTAACTAAGCTATCGTCAGTCAGCTACAACGTAGGACCAGACACATCTATGCACCGGTCCAAGTTGCCATACCTCATTAGCACAACAAGAAGAACACCGGATTTATAATAGTAGTGGTTGTAATATATAAAAGAAAGATTGCATATAAGGATATAGTACAGGAAGAATTACTTTGTAGAAATAAAGATATGAAGCCATTTTAATCTCATGCACAGAGAGTGTATACACCTACGCCACTGTGACCGATTCTGAGCCATCTCACACAAAATCTCTAACTATTCGTTACGATAGTCACACGGACCCCAACCATGTAACCTGCATCTACCAACATAGCTTACGAATATCTTCAACTGTTAATCGCAACGTTTCGCAGCCGCAAAGTAAAACAGAACGAACTGCCACGCAGTAATGAAAAGTCACCTCAAAATTTACTGTTTTTTTGGTAATGTTGATTGCCATTTTAAAAAAACTTTTAACAACACTTTTTGTATTCACAAAATGTTTTGATTCATCAAGCAGTTGACAATAAAATGATTTTAGGAACCACCCTTATATTTTAAGTCAGTTAGCACAACTGTGTGAAGCGTACGCTTGACCAGAACATTGAAGTGCTTTAATGAGGAAATTTTAAAAGCAAAACAAACCCAGCATTAATAAAGAATACCCAGTATCTCACCCTCTGCAACTGTTCCCGTAAGCTTTTTTCCTTCATTTCCAAATCATCTGTTGATAGATACTATGAAGAAAAAACAAAGGAAAAGAGCAAGATAATGTGAACTTTGGGACTAATTATTAGACTATTAAGTATGATTAATCCCAAATGAAAAGCAAATCGCTGTTAGACTACAAAGTTTTGAATGATTACACGTCTAAACGAATTTTCACCACTGATGATTTATACGTACATGCGCAGAATACTTTAAAGACCAGTCGAATCAGCCTAAAGCATTTACACAGCTGTAAATCATTTCGCTATTATCAGATAAGTACCAGAGCAGACAACCATTTTGATTGTAATTATCACATGTGTGATGTATGATAAAACGTACACCTCAATAAATTTTCTTAGTAGTAGAGAAGTATATTTATCTAAGACTGTTAGTAGGGACGAATTAAAATTTCTGAATATGGATACCAATCGCTGAGTTTAAGTTTCTGAACACAGCCTTTAAGTCAGTCAGTCAGCTACAACGTAGGACCAGGCACATATATGCATCAGTCCAAGTTGCCATACCTCATTAACACAACAAGATGGACACCGGATTTATAAAAGTAATTAATTCAGAGGTGGTAATATATAAAAGAAAGATTGCAATAAGGATATAGTACAGGAAGAAAAAATTATTTCATAGAAAGAAAGATATGAAGCGACTTTAATCTCTTAGCTTAAGGGAAGACACCAAGTGTATACACTGACGCCATTGTGATCGATTCTGAGCGATGTCACCAAGAGTCTCTAACCATTGGTTACGATATTCACGCGGACCCCAACCAAGTAGTCTGCATCTACCAACATGGCTCAGATTAGAAGTTAGTGACTTCAAGCACTGATGCCACGTTTTGGTTTGGCCGCCCCTAACTTTCTTCCAACCATCTACAGCACCGCTTAGCATTGCACGACGTGGTAATCGATGTTCGGGCATACGTAACACGTGACCCAACCATCTCAGTCGATGAAGATTCACAACCTCATCAACTGATTTACCATCATTACCTAATACCCTGCGTTTAGCTTCACTATTACTTACCCGGTGATCCCAGCAGACGCCAGCAATATTTCTAAGACATCTGTGGTCGAATACTAGTAGATTACGAGTGTCTTCTACTCCTAATGGCCATGTTTCACTGCCGTAAAGTAGAACAGAACGGACTGCAGCGCAGTATACTCGTCCTTTTATTGATAGATGGATATCTCGCCTTCGCCATAGGTGAAGTTGGCAAAAGCCAAGCGAGCTTTTCGAATCCGTGCTGAGATTTCGTCAAACACCAACCCATTAGGGCTGATCAGACTTCCAAGATAAGTGAAGTTGTCAACGCGTTCGACTACTTCACTCCTTATCCTTAGTCCAGGTGTTGACGCAGACCAGTCCTGAAGCAACAACTTGCATTTAGAGGGAGAGAAGCGCATTCCAAACATTCTGGCATTGTTGCTCAGTGCTACTAGAAGACTGCATTTTATCAGCGTCTTCACCAAACAGGACTATATCATCTGCGTATTCTAAGTCGATAAGTGGACCTCCTGGTAGGAGATCAATACCCGAGAATGTTATTCCTATCAGTAGGTCTATGATGAAGTTAAACAAAAATGGAGAAAGTGGACAGCCTTGACGGACACCATTTGAGGTTGCAAAAGCTGACGACAGTTCTCCATAAACTCTGACTCGACTAGTATTGTTCGAGTAAAGAGCCTTCACAAGGTTTATGTACTACACAGCCTTTAATGCTTTCTTAGATGAAGTCAGTCTGATTCATCAAGCTATCAAGTCAACATGTCATTCAAAAGTAAATATACAAAATAAACCCTATAACAAAATACTACGAGCTCATCGTTTTTGTAAAGGGCAATGACTCACAAAATGAAAGTTCCTTGACAATTGTACCAAGCACTCAAATTATTCATGGCTCTCAGCGCTAAACACAACTACTACTCCATAATAGCACTATTATTTGACTATATTTTCAGATTCCAGGATGTTTGGCATCAACTCGTAAATTCTATGAATTAAAATTGTATTAAGTAGGTTGATGTATAACTCTTGGACAATCTTACTAAGGCACGTTAGTTTAAAAAACGCACTATATAGGGCATATCTGTGAAGTGGCTCTGGAGACACTTAATAAAAATGGAAGATAGAATGCTTTTAAAAGCCGAGAACTTCATGAGTGCAGAGCCTCATCCAGTTAGAAATAGTTCTTCATACTACCAACTCCATAAAAACGCATTACAATCTACACAGTTACTTTGTTCGACGCGTGGTTTGATACAAAATATTTAACTTATAAACACTAGTTTGCAAACTGAGCATATAAAAGCCAGACATGAATGATGAACAGCCTTATATCATGAGTACATATGTTGCGATGACGAAATCTCTAAAACATTATATATTAACAAATCCCCACAGATCTTTCGATGATGATTTGTTTGCTAAACTTTCCCTTCTCGTCAGACACAAATTCGAAGCATCCAAGCAAAGAAAAAACGTCTATTCAAATAAAACTGAAACATAACATAGGTGCTTACACTTCCCCAGACATTCATATCGAAAATCCTAAGACCCTGAGTCATTATACGCTCCTTTATACACTAACAAATTCAATTCTGGTGAACTTAAAGACCAACTCGACTGAAAAACCAAACGGCTGGCGACGAAACATCAGTAGCTGGCAGTGCTTAAGTTAAAGTTTTCTAAAACTAGCTAACATACTTTTGCGTAAAATTACTCACCTGTATATCATTTAGCTCAGCAAGTCTCAAAGCCTCTAATGTGGATGTACTTTGCGATTCGAGGTCTTGAACTTTCCTTTAAGAATACAATGTAACCAAATTATAATCATACGACTCGGTTGCATTGGCTCGTTTTTCAGCATTTTCTTTGGCGAATTCTACATGTTTCAGATGAATTACAGTCTACAAATACAACAAGAGAGAAATAGACAGACCTCGTCAACACGAGTCTGGACTTCTAGGCACTCGTTCCGCAAACGCATCAGCTCAGCCTCCAATTCATCTATTCTTGAGTCCTGGCTATAATTCTTGCTATTCAAGTTTTCCAATTTCCTAAAATTTTTAAAAAAACGCAGTACTGAGTTTACCTAGAATGATGATCGTGACTATCTATGTGATCAGAGAGCCTGTTAAGAGCATCCTTTAGTCTGTCATTTTGCATTTGACACTTCTGCTTAAGTAACATTTCTTTAGTAGCAAGTTCATACTGTTCTGAATTAACCTAAAAAAAAGTTATGGATAAAAAGAACTACCTACCTTGTGCGTTGCATCGACCACACACTTAATTTGACTTTCAATGTCTGAAACTCTACTTCTCAAATCGTCTTCTTCTTCTCTAAATTCATTCAGTCGCTTTCTTAGAACATCCATCACTAACCATAATTTTCGGAAAACCGCTTCAGTTGGAATATTTCAGAATCTAAAGCATACAAACACACATATTGATCTAATTTAATATTTCGTTTATTTGCTATCCGATTCCTCCAATATGACAACCTTGTGTAAACTGTTTCATCTTTTTGCAGTAGCTTCTTGCTTTTTTGACACAGCTCCGGGTATTCAGTAATCGATGGACGGTAGTCTAACCTCTCAACTATACTACTTCTACTCAGTTTGGTAGTTAATTGTGTGCTTGCATATCCTTCAATCTGAGTGATCACATTGGTCGCAAAGCATCAGAGTTTATGGAAACAGTGGGTACCACATTACCAGGCAAAAGATTGGTATCAGTAACGGTAGTCAATGAGTGGATCAGTTTTAAGCATTCTAAGGGTAAAATCTCATTGTATCCCTTCCACCTCCAGTACATGATATAAGCGTAAGTCGGAAAATAAGAACAAATTGTATTCAACGGTAGGTCTTACACATAACTTCTAAAGAATGATTCCAGATTTCTTTCAGAAAAGTAAAAAATTATAAATTCTGGAAATTTCAGCATCTTTGATGCTTTAGTGGCGATGGGTTTAGAGAAGTTTAAACGGCGTTGGTAATACACTCCAAGGTAAGGTACTGATGTGAGTTCGGGCAGTTTATACTTGTTAACTTCCAGTCTCATTTCCAACACATAGCCACATTTTGTGTGTTGCGTTCTAAGCTCTAGCGTCTACACCAGTTATCTACTTTATTCAGTTCATGCTCGAATGTTCGTGCAACGCTTGGCATGTGTCAGATGTTGGTTTCGCAGATGAGTTTTAAGTCATCAACGTGAAGGTAGGTCTTTCCAGAGTTGAATTAGGTGCATGTGTTATTGATTCAGACTAGAAAAAGCAGTGAACTCAAAGCATTACCCTAAGCAGCACTACTGATTATTGATCGAGGTATGGATACCGTAGATTTAATTTAATAATTCGGTTTGTTTGCGAGAGATTTAATCCATTGCAATATAAGACTAGTAATTACGACTTAATAAAGTCTGTTGGTTAAAAGATTATTAGGAACCTTAAGCAGTGTTGCGAGGAGTGGATTAAGCCTTCCTCAAGTAGGTGGGCAAACAAATGATCTTTCCTCTCTTTTTTCATTATGCGTGGTATAATAGAGGTGTCATTTAATAATCCTTAGTTCTGGAATAGGTTTTTTGGCACTGAATTACATTTGGAGAAAACATACATGACATCGCAGGTTTCAGGATATGAGCCTTCTTCTAAGGATGGTGTAAATATTTTAAGTAGTGATGTTTGTACATCCAGCTCCGCTATTTTGTAGGGAATCGATGAGACCCTACTTTCACTAAAATTTTCATTCGACCTAATGGTCTTAACGACAGATTGGATAATAATGTGATCAAAGTTAGTGATATTAGGATTATTTACAATGGAAAGAACATACTAGTAATTTTCCTAAGTTGTCTTTTTAAACAGTAATGTTATTTCTTCGTTCTTTTTTGTTTTATATTTCAACCCTCACTCAGGTCTATTGTACCCACATCTTATTTTCTTCAACCTTCTTCATTTGAACCAATTTCGGCTAATTTTGGTCAAAGATTTACCATTAATACTTAATTTACAGTTCCATATAGCTAAATTCAAAGTTGCAGCGCGGTTCAGTTGCTGATTGTTGAATTCTGTCGTAAAATGTGGAAACTATACATTAAATACATCATTTACAAGTACTCCATCAGCTGTCCTTCACATTCGTTATGACTGTGATAATTCCGAATTACTTTATGTTTCCCTTCCTACTTTCTTCAGTTCAGTCTCCTCAAATTTCAGTTTCCAGACATTCCACTCCTGAGTGGCGTTACATACTACTTATATCTGTCGACATTAGAAGCATACGCTACAATAATATGTCATATTGTGGAATTATGGTCTAATTCGCCATTAGTGCATAAATCATTGTTACTAATATAATCGGCCTAATCCCAAAATTGTCGAGTTGTCATCATGTGACTACCTAATCTATGAGATCTTACGTGAAAGCCACATCATATTCTATTCTGACTCGTTGTATCGTAAGAATCAGCAATACAATGTTCAGCACTTCTGAAGGACACATTTGAGCTGGGTATAGAATAATATATTTTAATGTAAACTTGGATTTGTTGCAAGGATGGCTACGCCTGCAAGTCTGGGCCATATCATACGATCACTAGTTCTCTCATTCAGCATCACGAACTTTTTCAGGGTATAACATGTCGAATGTAAATATTTTCATGAGTTATATGCTCCGCTTGAAAAATCATGCTGTTAAAGACCAATACCTATACACTACTCTCCCATCAGAATTTACGTGATGTTGACTCGATACCAAATCGAGCGAGAATGTCGCACACAAGAAGTCGACAGCAACGCACAGGATATGCACTAGTTCACCCCACTTTACTTACAACTGAAATTCCACTCGATGTTCACAAAATTACTAATGCCACAGCGCAGGCAAAAGTAGTACGACAGACCAAGAAATGGAAGTGAGTTTTCGTTCATGAGATGTGGATAAAGTTAAATGAAGTCTATGGTCATAAAAATGTGTCCATATTTCAAGTCAAAAGCTACAATTGGAGCCTCTCGTTTGCTACATTATCTAAGAATAGTGTTACTAAACTCTAATATATTGGTAATGAAACCTAATTAACAGAAACTATATATCAATTCGAATCCACCATAGTAAGTGCTCTATCTCTGTGAGGCTAATGACTCATCCCACTGATGGTTATTATTAAGTCTAAAATATGGCTAAGTGATTTGTTTGTTTTTACCCAAGATTGGATGGAAAACAGTTATATACCCCACATGTTCTTTCATCTCTGACGCAAAAGTGGAACAGAGCCTCACTTATTTGTGCCCAGAGGGATTCTTGTCACTTTACTATCCACTCTTTATACGCTTATCAGTGTATATGTACATAAAAAAGTTTTACATAAATAAGACTTTCTCATAAAAATTAAACCATGACATAAGAAACGATAGCGATAAAATCAGTCACCTGATACAAGCTTGTGACAAAATTATTGGAAGCTAAATAGTGGTTGTTATAGCAACAATTTGCTCGTGATGCCAAGTTTAAATGACGGTCTAGATACTATGCAAAGTGATGATTTATTCAAAACTTCTTATGGAGTTGGACATCACTGGAGGAAAGAGTTTTATTTCCCCGATTCTGACACAATGGTATGATAATACTTTTCAACATAGTTCCTTAATTTGCTTTACATTTAAGGCCAAACTTAGTGAAAGACTTAAATGGAGTTTAGAACCCGAATCTGCAGTTAAGTATGACGATCAGTATCAAACGTCAAACAGGCTTGCGTACGATCGGAAGGTCCCAAAGGATTATTTAAAGTTTCCACAAAATCCTCTACCACCTCATCACTGGGATGTTCACTACATAAATGATTTTCGTTCACGATTTCTCCGTGGAGGCTACAGAAGACCGCTAAGCCCATGTCATCAAACAACTGAAACAAAAGAATCATATAGTAGTGTTGATGGGCTCAGTGAACTTTGGCGTCCATTATCAATGCGACCTTTTGAAATTGAAGATCATCATAAGGAAGGACCATCCAAAGTAAATCACTTATGTTATAGCATTAAACTTCAAGAACATCATCCCGTCTACTAAAAACGCCAGTTTATCAGGCAGAGTGTCATATCCCAAAGACAAAGAAATATTAAGATACATGGATCCATATCTTACGACATATATGAAAGATCATAGGGTTTGGAAACCTGAAGAACTAAAGGAAATATCTCAAAATAATATATCGACATACTGGAATTCAACAGACTACTTGAAGTCAAACGTGTTTGGTTTGGACTCCAAGTATGTCAGTCTTACGTTATCTGTTTGCCTAATTATGACCTTTTTTGTTGGAATCAAACTCCTGCCTTCTTATTTTTTGTTTTCGACGCGAATGTCAAAATGATAGTTGCTGAAACAATCCGGCCATTGATTTCTGTTCTATTTTTTACCAGCCGCAAGCTACTTGGAAGTGGACAAGTTTCTACCATCTAAATTTGTCATTCACCAAAATAAATCAGTCGAATGTTTTTCTGCACAAAACGGGAACTCATCTCAAAACACAAAAAATAATTTTACTACGCTTAAAAAATAGAAACAATGTGGATAAAAATGGAAATTTCCCTTGAGTTTCCCGTGAGATTTGCATTTGAGTTAGTTAAGAGATATTCTAGAAAAAATATTGATGGAGAGGAAGACGCATTTGTGATAATTATAAGTATTTGAATTATTGTATGAACTGGCAATCCCCGAAACAGTGCAATTTGTGGCAATTAGAACTAGGCGATCAAAAACGAACGTGTGGTATCTGGGATTCAAAATCAGGCAGTTGACAAGTACCAAGAAATCATTAGTTTATACAAACACCATACCGTTACTCTGAATGAATCTGATGCAAATCCAGGTGTTGAATAAGTTGTATATTTATTGACACGCTGTTGATACCAAACCACCGATGTAATATAATGAATAGCGACAAACTTGACTGGGTCTTATCATTATCAAAAATCATATTCACCCATATTATCATTAAATTAGTCTGACAACTAGAGCTATCCTAACTTCACTATCGATCGACTGTACGATCGGAACCTCTGTCTTAAATAACAACATTATTGCATGTTTATGGTTTTAAAGACAGATTATTGCGTCTTCCTGTGAATCGTGACTTTCGATCGAAAATAACATAATTAAACTGGAATTAATCTGCATCTAATTTATAGATTTATAATCCGGATTCTTTCCTCACTTAATTTACCCAAAACGATAATTTTGACAAACAATAAACATTCGTTGTTGTTATTTATTTGTCACTAGACCAATAACAAAAGAGGGCATTGAAAACGAAAAACAACCTATGATTGACACACTGAAGTTTAATTGTCCAACAGAAAGCACGAGAGTGCAACCGATTTCCCATCATGTAGCACATACGTAAGTTTCATCACTTTCTG